CTTCACCCCAGCTAAAGTTAGTGCACCTGATGGTTGACAGGTGGGACATCGATCACCAGAGATCACTGTGACGCAGAGGGCAGGCAGGACTGTTTAGAATGGCTGCCAGTGACATTGAATTGTATTTGGCACCACTGGACAGTGGAGACTCCCTCCTACCTCGGCAGCAGCTGAAGAGAGGGCCCCTATGTGGACCATGTCTGTAGGTCTATCCAAGTCATCTTTAGGAAACCATTTTGGCTGCAGCTCTACAGTGCTCAGGTGGAAGTAACAGTCATTGAATGTAGTGAGACTTACATATGAACAGACATACATTGAACTATAATAGCCAATAGCAACCAAAGGCTAATTGGTGACAAATCTAACATTTAATCTATTTTTTCCTTTTCTGTATTTGGAATACAGAATGATTTTAATAACACAAGTTGGACAATTGTTAAGCATTATCTGATTTAACTTATCTTGAGCATTTACAGAATTCCCCCAAAATTTTCCAGGTAAAATGACACAGCTGTGCATGCCACTGATCCGTAACTGATAATGTGTATGGTGCCTTTGAAGTTCTGCCCATAATCTATGAGGAGATGGTTTTTAAGAATATGATGTGGTGTCCTTATTTACAGTACTTGGCACAATCTTCTGATAACTGTAAAATAATACTGAAATAATATCTGAAGTACTTTGGTTATTTTTTACTTAATCAAACAACCCAGAATTGTGTCTTTTTATTTCTCAAGCATATAAATAGTTGTGCTAAGGGAGTCACTAATTCAGACACTTATTCCATAAGAACACACAGCACTCCTTCTCACTTTGACTTGTGGGAACAAAGCATTGGGTTTTGTCCAACGCCCTAGTGTCCATCATGCATCTGTTTGTTCAGCTTTGAAAGCCAGTGTAACTATGCTGATGTGCATGGGAGTGTCTTCTTTGGATGAGGTTAACACTGTCGGCTAAGAGTGAAAGGGTGTGATGTGTCCTGGGTCACCAGTGGGTTTCCATGATGAGTAGTAATTCAATGTCCTGGTCTCCCTGAATCCTACCAGCACTTAAACCACTACATTATGTTGGCTCTTTATTATATGCATTTCAGTTTACACACGTAGTACCAAGGTAATAGGTTAAACGTATCATGTAGCTCAAAAAATGCTAACTTTGTAAAGAGTGTAGTTCCCCACCTCCACTATTTCTATATTATTGGAGGCTGGAATGAGCAGGGACACATACAGCTGTTTTCTTGCGACTGAATTATAAGGATCTGTGTTGATGCCAGATACAGCATCTCAAGCAAAAAGTAGATAGTTGGGCATATGTTGTCGAAGGCTTTCATGGCCAGAACCACTGGGTTTCTGTGAGTTTTCTGGGCTATCTGACCGTGTTCCAGAACATGGCCATAGAGCCCGGAAAACTCAGAGCAACCCAATTGGGCATATTCCTGCTTATCCTCCCAGTCTTGGATAACAACAGAATTGGCCACATTGAGGGAACTGCAATACGCTTATAAGGTGAGTCCAGTGGAAGGGTGGGGGGTGGGGGGGGGGGAGAGAGAGAGACTGGTCAGAACAAAGTTTCAACCTGTGTAGTAATGATTCCATTATATCATTGGCCAGTGACTTAGCACTATCATAATTCATTAACTGAATTAACTACACTTTTTATGCAGACTTGTGTTCCTATTTGCCTACATTCCATAAGTGGCTAGTATAGAATGTATCTTGGCTGCTTCCATTGTTTGAGCTATCCAAAACCGTTTTCTTAGACTTTTTGTTTACACTTGGAAGCTTTCATTTTATTGGTTTAAAGTCATTTCCTTTAACTGTCTCAATTAAGTGAAGCACCTTTGGTCTTTCAAAATACTGTTGGCACAGTCCCTCAGCAAAGAAGAAATTGCTGTGTGAAAACAAGTTGTAATCTTCTGAGTTCTTTAGCTATTTATTTATCATGTCAGAAGCGAACTGGGGGTATAGTTATAATGTATTTTAAAAATAAACAAAGTTAAACACTTGGCATTATGCTAAATGTCCTTTGACCAGAAGCTGGCCTTTTGGAGTGCCTCTGGTGTCGCTGTGAGGAGGTCCTCCATTGTGCATGTGACAGGGCTCAGGTTGCATTGTTGTAAGTGGTCTGTGATTTGCTCTTCTCCACATGCGTGTGTTGTGGGCTCCACTTTGTAGCCCCATTTCTTACGGTTAGCTCTGCATCACATGATGCCAGAGCGCAGTCTGTTTAGCGCCTTCCAGGCCACCCAGTTTTTTGTGTGCCCAGACTCAGAACCTGACTCAGCACATAGAAGACGGTTTTGAAAGGCAGCAGATTACAGGAGCTGTCTTTATAGAACTGTCAGCAGCATATGATACTGTAAATCATCGCCTTCTCCTGAGGAAAAAAAATTATAATATCACAAGGGCCTGCCACCTCACCCTCTTCAAAGAAAATCTGCTACAAAACAGGAGCTTCTTTGTTGAGTTCTTTAGCTTAAGAAATAGTGAATAAAATATGACATGATGCATAACATGAGGAAACCAGGTAAGCAGAAGCTTTCCTGAGACTTTATAATATTAGAGCCTTGATGATCAATTGAAGTTGAATGGTAGGAGAACCAAAACAGATGACCTGTTCTTCTCACAGCCCATAGTTAAATTGTGGCAATTGTTAAATTGTGAAATATGAATTCATGATGACTTGCAACTTGGGGAGCTACAAAAGCACATTGGCCAAATTATTAGATGATATGTCTATCAGTGGCTACTAGTAATCTTGAAAACAGAGCCACAAACAAGTTAGATAAAGACAGGCAATTTAACTTTACACTTGTGAAGGTATGCATTGGTTGCAGTACTCTACCTCTTTATAGAACTGCATAGTCCAGTGCACATTAATGTATAGTGCACAACCATGCAACACTATGCAATGCTCCCTAGTTTACAGGAATTGTCATATTCAAATTTGTCTTTAATTGGAGTATTTTCCTATTTTATGTATAACTAAACTGTTAATACATGTAATCCAATTATTAAGCGATGTTAGCTGTTGATTTCCTCATGTCTTGGAGGAGCAGTATTGTTGCTCATCGGTATTTCTGCTCTCATTACTACTGTGTGGATGTTTACATTGCTCTGAAAAAGAATCTTTATTATTCATTTCATTATTGCCGTGAATTCTTTTGCCATTTTGTAGTATCTTAGTAAAATCCACGTGGGCCCCTCCTCCATTTATTACATTCTGCGCTTATGTGCTGGATGTCTGGAACCTTTTTAGAGGATGTTATTAGGCACAGCATGAAAAGAGCTTCCAGTTTATCTGCCTCGATTGAACGGAGCCCATGAACAGACTTCTGACTAAAAGGGCCAGAGAGGAATTGAGAGGAGATGGCAGGCCCACAGAGGTCCACAGGCTCAGGTGGTTTTCAGCCATAAGTTTAGCTTAGCTCTTCCAGTAATTTGTCACGGCTTGGTCTTCTCCTGCTGCGCTAGCACGTGCCAGCTTAGTGTCAGAAAGTCTGTGCACCAGACGGCCACTCAGGCCTAACATCCTGCTGTTCAGGACCAGCGGCTTGCTGTGTCAGTGTGGAATAGAGAGCCTTGGCAACAGCCAAGTGCTATGCGGAATAAGCATGTCCATAATGAGATCTGAATGGCATCAGTCAGTCCCTTTAGAATAGATTCGAGGCGTGTGCCTCTTCTCGTAGGAAGTTTGGCAGCCTATTCATTAACAAGAGTCATCAGGAGTTCAGCCTGTAACAGTAAAGCAGCCTCAAATACAACCGGGTGCTCAGGCCAACCCTTGTACCAACTAGAATGGGCTTTGAAAGCAAAAAGTAAATAAAAATGGCTGCAGGATCATTGTTCGAAAATTCATGTGCATGTTACTGCTGTGCCATGATTACACCAAACATGTATTTGAAAATGTTTTCACCTTGTTTCTATTCTAGGCGATGCTCTGTTTACTTTGACTTTCATAAGTAAAAAGGTTTTTGATTTGTCTGCACAAAGCTGGCTTTCAAGCCATTTACTATTGCAGCATCCACTTTTGGTATGGTGTCCTATATAAATGAAAGTATTGCTAAGATTTGGCACCTTTTTTCTTTTCCTGCAGGTGTTACATAAAACTAAGATGTTTTCTCACATTTGGAAAACATGGCAAAAATATGAAAAACCATTTTAAAATCATAACAGGAAATGAGGTCATATTTCTACTTTGGGGGTCTAATTCATAAAATCATATGTGAGATGCTTTAATCTGTTGTAGGTTTGTTCAGAATGTTATCCTGCTATTTGAAGTGTATGATTCATCTTCAAAGAAAACAGAAGCTACACACAAAGAGAGAGATTTGCTCTCTCCTCTATGAAAAGCTATCACAAGCAGGGGTCCTATTAAGACAGCTGGAAAGTTGCTTCAGCTTGTTACGCTTGTAAGTTTTATTGGTGACTGGTTTTTGATTATGCATTTGAATGGCGTGTGTTCCAGGTTGCTGGGTTTTAATTAAAAGGCGATACTGTTGGTTTTAGATGCTTTGTTGTCAGCATAATTAAGACTGGGGTATACATATGTCCTATTTTTTTAATTGAGTACATTAAGAAATGAGAAATTTCTGGTGTACCAAAAAAATCTTCCAAGGTAGACTTTCCAAAACTGATTAATAATTATATTAAGCTTTCTATTTTAAATAAAGCAATTTATTTTCTTCTGTTTTTATTTTAAATTCATTTTTAAATGATTAATTTATCTAGAAATAATCCGTAGTACTGAATAATATGACTGTAACACCTTTTTCCTCGTGGTTGCACAGTTGTTTTCATTTGTTACTTTGAAGTCAAAATTCAGTTTGGAAACCAGCCCTTTTCATAATTAGTTTAGTACTGAAGATGAAAAACTATATCAGTTTCAATAACATGCATATTTAATTACCAGAAAGATATTAATGATTACAGTACTTCGAATTGTGCTTGGGCATGGTTGGCCCTATTATTCTATGAGTTTCCTTAACCAGCTTCGTACAGTTATGAGGAAAGAGCACTATATCTTGAAGCAATAATCCAGAATCATAAAGAAGTAATGACATTTGAGGACTTTGCAGCTCAGGTCTTCTCTCCTTCTCCCAGTTATTCCCTTGGAGGATGTGGTGAGTTTCATCATTGTCATTATTATTATTATGATTATTACTATTATTATTGTAGTTGCTGTTGTTGTTCTTGTTATTTCCACCACAGAGAAGCACTTGAATCGCAGATGTGCATCTGTTTTCCACTGATAAATGGCTGCAAATTTAAGAAGAGCATTCTCCCTCCGAATTAGCTAATGAATATCAAAAGGAGTGATGACATTCATTTTAATTTGTTTTGCATCAGAGCTGTTCACTCAGTTCCTTTCTTTAGCTATCCTGTTAACCTCTGAAGCTAGCAAGGTTAATGAACTTTCTCTCACTAATGTGTTTTGATTCATTCAAGAGTGTAGGCTTCTTGCTGAGCTGAGAATACGTTGTGCAAAACCTGTTCATGAATCAGCGCATATTTATTGAAAAATAGTTCCTCACAGTAGAAAGCACTGCTTCTAATGCTAAATGGGGATTATGCTTCTTCAGTACTAGGACCAAGGATTAACAGTAAAGATGGGGTTTTGTTAGGCAGCCGTAATGCCAGTGATTGTGCATGCTATACATTACTGGATCTTTAACATTACGATGGGTTGTGTGTGTGTGTGTGTGTGTGTGTGCTTTAAAAGAAGCCTTCTGTTTTGAGGGTCTGTTTCATAATTCATTACTCTATCTTACTGAAGGGACATGAGGCAAACCAGATGGATTTCTTAATGCAAATTCCTTTATTCCCTGTTTATACCCATTTTGTGAAACTGACTCTTCCTAATTATATTATGATTCTGTGTTGGATTGTTGAATTGATGGATTATCTCAAACCCTGGTGAATGTTTAGGCGCATCTGTTTTCTTTCTCTTATTCTAACTGACTGACTATCTTTATATCTGAACTAAGAAATATAACAAATTAAATTTACTGAAATGAATCACTTTACAAATAAAATCAGGCATGCGTCACTGTTTAACATTGCCGGTTTCAGACCATGAGCTTTCCAAGCTTTGTTAAAAGATAAGAGGTATATGCATGTACTTGTATTGGTCGCCAATAGCAGCAGGCAGAAGGCTTTGGAGATAAGCAAGCTGGCAGAAGTATAGAGGAACCATTGCTATTTACATAATCGCACCTCTGCTTCCTGGAGAGGCGTCAAGAGACAGGGATGGCCTCTATTGATCTTTGTTGAACTGGAATACTAAACAACATCAGAAAAGCTTATAAGTAAAGCTTTGATTAATGTTTTCTCTATTAAAAATGTGGAGCAGCTGTGAATTAAATTCTTTACATATCCTGCCAAAACTGTGAGACAAAATTTGTCATTTGCTTTCTAAAAGGTAGAAGTTCTATTAATTTGGATATTATCAAGAAATTTAACTGGTAAATTTAAAATAAACTAGTAATAGAGCAGTCAACAAAATATTTTAATCCATACTGTAATCCTTTTACCACAGGTGCCTTGTTTGTGTGCGTGTGTGTTTATTAAATGTGGAAGTTGTGTTTTGTGAAGAGATTAAAAAACCACTCCAGTATTCTGACAGAACACACCTGTGTATTTTGCACTTTGTTTGTTAATGTTCAAATGTAAAATCCCAGGGGATAATTCTCAGTGGGCTAAACTATCTAGAAAATATGTTGCCCAGATTTTCTAGCCTCTGTGTTTGTGACGAGCCTATATTGGTTGAAAATTTACTATCCCATCCTTCAGTATAAAACCAATTTATCAGGATAATTTAGGATTCAGAATGATAGAAAAAGCTGGAGCTACTTTAAAAAGATAACTAGATGCATCATCCAGTACTCTTGGGAAGCCATTCCAAGGGCCACTGAATCCTGCATGCTTTTATTTAACATAAGTTCCTCTCATGTCCAATATAATTCATTGTTAAGCCTTTTAAATCTTGGGCTTTGGTATTGGTGTATCTAGTGATCAAGGTGATTATGTTAAATTAGTACTGTAATTTTATGGAATACAATTTAATATATTTATGTATTTTATTTCATTCAAGCCATAAACACTTTCATAACTAGAGTCAAACATTTGTGCAATACACAATTTCTCACAGTGCCATATTTCAGTACTTAGACCTTCTCTCTCCCCATCTAGATCCAAACCTGATACCATCTGATCCTCTCAATTCCCACATTTACAACATTGTCTACTCTTGCTCTCTCCACCATCATCATCCACATGCAAGTTTACTCTAGCCAGTATTCTGTATTGTCATTCAAGCCTTATATACCATTCTTGACAATATTACAATCTGACCATCTATTTCAAATCTAAGATGCACTAACAATATGGTGCTAGGGTTAAGAAATGTGATTTTGTAGGTAAACCATTCTTTTTTCATCAAATCTCAGAGATCTGAAAATAGCAATCTGCAGGCAAAACTATTATTGAATAATTAAGTTAACACCACATTTAGGCCTCCATCAGTTAGTGACACAACCACAATACCAGCTAAAGAGTGGTTATATGAGATTAGTTTTATGTAATATCAGCCTCCCTCGTCTGGTGAGGAAAGATAGTGGGGTATAATACTTGAGTCGGACTCTGGAAGACCAGAGTTTAAATCCCTGTGCAGCCATAGGAACCCAGTGAGTGACCTTAGGCATCGTACATTCTACCTACCTTGGAGTAAGACAATGGCAAACTTCCTTTGTATAAACCTTGTCAATAAAACCCCTAGGATGTGGTCTCCATAAGCCCAGGTTGACTTGAAAGTACATAACAATAACAACAACAAAGAAGAAGAAGGTTGGATTCAACTAATTGATCCTTAGCCATCTTGGCCAGTTAGATTTTCACTTTTATACTGTATTAACCATATACTGTACTTTAGTTTTTAATGAGCATGCTTTAAATTCATTTTAATGCTACTAATAATTTAATTTGTATGATGTGTCCTTTCAGATTTCTCTGTTTTAATTCTTGTCAGCCAGAGCTCGAAGGAAAACGGAATATAAGTAGTAGTGGTGGTGGTTAGTAGTACTATAATATAGGAACATGATCTACTTTTATAAGTTGAATTATGTCACACCTCATCCTTTATCGTGTTTGCACTTTATATGTAAGATAAAAATTGTGTCCTAATGAAATTATATGAGTTAATACTGTGGCAAACAAGATAAGAAATACATCATATGGCACTAGGCTAAGTTATGGAAAGAATAAAGATGCTCATTTGTCTCTTCTATGCATCCTATGGGCAGTTCAGAGATCTTGGAAAAGGAAAATGACAATCTGCTAACACTTTTTATAAACAAAGCTCTTTCATTAGTAAGTGACTCAGACACTTCCTTGAATATTGTCACCTTACTTGTCAAATATATAGGATGCTCATTAAGTTCCCTCAAAGCCTAATGAATTAATAGAACTAGAAAAATACAAACCATATACTGTGTTCATAGTTAGCTTCCTTAGTTAATGGACATGTTAATGTTCCGCCAAAGTAAGTTAGTATTTACTTTTCAAATAATTTAAATCAAGAGTTAATAATAGATATATTTTGGTGCTGGTATGTGAATTTCAGCTTATGTGATGTTGGCATCCTGAAATCCATATCAGAAAACACATTTCAAAATGTCCAAGTTGCCATTTGTACCTCAAAAGATTAATTGAAATGGGCATATTAGATTGCCAAAAGGATTGATCTAATCGCTGCTGTGTCCAAGTGCATCTGTTCACTGTGAGGTCATTCATGTGCATGCTAATGATTTGCAAAAGAAAGACTAATGTTCAGAATAGATAGAGCGAATGCAACTTTTTTCCAGTTGTAAGAGAAATAATATACATGCTCTGATTACAAATTCAAGTTTCTATGTTCTTAAGACCAGGTCTTGAAAAGCACGCATCATTAGTGGATCTGGGCACATCAACAGAAAAGACAATACTACTTTGTCTGGTAGATCTTAAATCTGTGGAAGATATTTATTGTGCTAGGTGAACTGCCAGGGATTGGGAGAGATTAGCACACAGAGCCTTAAATACAACATCTAAAAGTTTGAAACAGGTCCTGTCTCAAACTGGTAGCCAATGAAGAAATTGTTAGTGTTTAGGTAGTTTTAAAACACTCTACTTTTGAATTACAGTCAGAGAAGAAGAAAGTGAGCAAGCAAATATTCAGTAGGCAGTTATAAAAATTCAGGAGTGGCATAGCCAAAACCTGGACAAACAGATGGGTAGTCTCAATGGTCAAGAACCTATGGATTCTACAAATGTTCAAGAGATAGATATTACTTAAATCTTTGCTGTCATCCCCCCCCCCCCCAAAAAAAAAGATGAAAAGTCATTCAGTAGGACTCCAAGGTGGTGAAAAAACAAAACAGGAACAATTATGCAACCCTGCAAACACAATGGAGGGCATGAAAGAGGGACTACAGGAGGACCAGGCTGAAAACACCAAGATGTCATTTTTCCATATTCAGCTTTAGGTGGGCATCAAGTCTGTACAATGTTCAATAAGTCTGTCCCATCACAGACTTCCACACAAAAGCATCAATTGATTTAAACTTGAAAGCATATGTGTAGTCTGCATAAATGTGATGCTAAAAACCCAAATCAGAAATTTTGAAAATCTAAGAGAGAGAGAGAGTATAGAATGAAATGAAGAAGAGGGACCCAACATTGGTCCTTGTGGCATCCCTTCACTTACAAGAAAGGCTTTCAACATATATCTCAGAAATAAAACAGAGGAAAATACTCAAACAAAAAATGTAAGAACATGTTTTATAAACTAAAGAATATATGAGCTATTCAATTCTCATTGAAATGATGTCCTAGTAAGATGGAAAAGAATTAATATTTTTGTATCTTGACCACTGGGCAGTCTAACATAGATAAATCAGACCAACCAAAGAGTTTTATCTAACATAGATAAAACTCTTGTAAAAGAGTTTGGTTACAGTCCCTTAGAAAGCTGTTTTGCATAATGCCCATTCACATGTATGAGTTGCACCAAACAAAAACTAAATGACATAATATCCTGTTTAATATATAAATGTATGAAAACTCCATAATTCCTGAATTCAGAAAC